AAAAAAAAAAAAAAAATGCAGGGGGGCCGCCCAACAAATGAACAAAAGGTCTAAATACCAAAAAAGAATAAAAAGGGAAAATGGGCCGCCCAACAAAAGGCCCAATTACTAAAAAGACAAAAAAGAGAGAGAAACAAGCCACCCAACAAAGGGACCAATTTCAAACAAAAAAAAAAAGAAAAAAAAAAGGGAGGAAGAAGACGGACCAGCAACTAGGCAAAGCAAAACCCAAGCCTCTCCCACACCGGCTTCGATCTCCCTCTTCTCCTGCGATCTGGCAATGTTCTGGCGGAGCCCAACATGCGCGGTGCATCCCCTCGCCGGGTGCTGAGTCCGCCGCTGGGGACGAAGGCTAATTATTCACGTGGGGTACTAGTTTATTTTTTATTTTTATTTTTATTCCTTCCATGAGGGATTACTGCAACATGTTCCAGTTAATGATGCAATTTTTGGCATCAATAGTGGTCACATTTCTTAATTCTTGTAAGACTTCGACAAGGTTTTTGAAAAAATCAAAATTCATTTATGAGATTAAGAAGTTGATTTTAAATACGTTTTGATTAAAAAAAAAAAAAATTACAAGAAGCAGTAGCCCTACCAAATGGCCATATAGTATTTGTATTCTTAATGATTCTTTTTTTGTTTTCCATAAGAGATTTATCTGGATTCGTCCAACACAAAGACGTGCCACTGATCTTTAACAATGCTACTTGACTATGAATCTCATCTTGAGATCTCCAATTCAAAGAAATGCCTTAAGTTACATGGATTGATATTTTTAATTAATTGCTAGTACATAACTTCAAACACGGAAGGAAAAAAAAACACTCTCATCCATCCAAAACTTTCAACTACTTTTGGACTAAAAAGTGTCACGCTCCTGAAAAGAAAAAAGTTTAAAGATAAACCCAAATACTAATCAATACTTATTTAAAGAATCTTTAAAGGGGGCTCAATCCATCATGTGACAAAATATATGGGCATGGCATTTGATGAAATTCTATGCTGCTGGTCCATGTTAAGCTCCCTAAGGCTAATATAGGGGATCCCCACCTTATCTTTCCCCGTGGGGTTCAAAGTTCCGGCGAGTGGACCGGAAGATGGCCGGCTGGTTTTACGGTAAGGGGTAGATGACCCACTTCTACTTTCAGTTATATAAACCGGCCCGGATATTGGTCCTCTGCATGCATGGCCATGTTGGACTCCGCCATGATGATCAAGATCCTTTGTGGCAGCGCCACCATGTGCCGCCCTCTTGAAGAAGAGGAAGGCGTTCTTCCACCACCGTTTCTTGTTCTTCTTGATCTTCTTGGAGGATTCATCTTTGGAAATGGGCTTTTGCAGCTTGAAATGGAGTGTGTCTATAGATCTTGAACTCTCTTTCTTGTGGTACTTCCTTGCTTCTTCCAAAACCTTAATTTTTACAAAAATTAAACAAACATATTTGTTAATCGATAAGGGCATTGGTATACAATCAAGTAGTAGATAAGACTGAACAGTAACATCTAAATTTGTATACATTTCACTAAATAATTACATACAACATTACAATATAATTTATGCCACAAAATAATAGACACGACCAAACAATACAGTAGACAAAATGTTGAGATAGTAAATTCGAAAATCAAAGTGAAAAATAGATTCATTGGAATATATTTCAGAACTTGACATGACTGAACAATACAATACAATACACCACAAGTAAATATATGGTATATCGTTGACTACATTACCTGAAAGTAATCAATTTGAGGGTCAAAACCATAGTCACTAAAATGATGAGGTTCTTGAATAGGAAAGATGGGTGAATATACATTTGACATTGGTTTTTTTTTGGCCAAACCTCTCAAGTTTTTGCTATGAAGATTCTGTTTTTCCTTTTTGCAGAGAGGAGAGGGTGAAGGGCCGTAAATGGGGAGGAGAGTGTGGGGGTTGGGTTAGAGTGGGTTTAAAGGGAGAATGGTCGTTGGCATTTGGGAACCCTAGTAAATGCATTCACATCTTTTATTGGACTTCCCATCGTACACATTACATAATGAATAATTAATTAAAGAGTAAATTACATAAACCAGGTTCATAACAATTACATTCTAATAAATAATATTATTTATATCTATATATTAATTAATCAAAAAGTTTATAAATACTTCCAAAAGGAGAGTTAAGGCATTTCACGGGATGAGTGAAGTCAGCAGAGAGCCTTCATTAATTAGAAGACCCCAAGGCACAAGCAATTAAGCGTGGTTAGCAAGTGCATCACGTGATCAAGTGAGGTGGTCTTAATAACAAATAATAATTTATATTAAATAAATATTTATTGAATCTGGTAGTGTTTATTAAAATAAATTGCCCGTAGATGAACGCACTAGACGAGTTTCATGTTAAATTGTAGCTTAAAAAATGGGTCATGTCTAATTTAAGCTCCAATTGAATATATTTCATATTCATTGGAGTGGAGCCTCGAGCTAGCTGACTTTAACTTGTTTGTACTCTTATGATAGATTTGATATGCACGATAGGATGCAGTTGTAAAAAATTATAAAAGAAGTGTACACGGGATATTAGACATTATCTAATTCAATTTTAATTAAACCAATGCATTACAAATAACTTTAAACCAATTACTGTATAATTTGTATTTTAACGAGTTAGCTCAACTCAAATTGAACTCCTCAAGACTTGAGCTAGTTACAAGACAAGGAATTGCCCCCTGGGGTATAGCTTAGTGGTGCAAAGGATATGAGCAAGGTAATTTCAGTTGAGTTGGCAGTCGCAGTGTGAGTGTTCGATTCCTACTTCATACAGGATATAGAATTTGATTCTTTCTGGGCACCAGTATGACAACTCTTATAATTTGGTCTGTTGAGACACATCTCGCGATTTACCTAATCCACAATGCTTTAGAGACGGGGCGGTGGGGGTCCCTCAAGGTTTGAGGTTCAACCTTTTAGTTACATGATAAGGAATTTACAAAAAGAATTTCAATAATTAATATAATAAATCAAGTACAACTTATTTCGTGCTCAAAAATTGCAATTTTCTCTCTCTCTAGCTTACCGAGCCAGTGCTCGAACAATTGCAATTACAATATCGTGCTCAAAAATTGCAATTTTCTCTCTCAAAAATTGCTCAAAAGTAAGTTGCAATTTTTGAGCACGAAATTGTTCGAGCACTGGCTCGGTTCGCCGGAGTACAATCTGTGNTAATAAAATAATATTTTTCATCACATCAATAAATTTTTTTTTCTTTTTCAACCACACATTTCCCATCATATCACTATTCAAAAATCAATTCTTCCCCCAAAAATTCCTACCAAACAAGCACTAAAAGTATTTTTTTTTTTTAAAGGTAACTTTTTAGTTAGTTTTAAACTTAATCAGACATGGTGGAATACAAGTTCTAATTTTATTTAAACAATCCAACGGGCTTGATCCATAAATCACCTAGGGGGTATGGTCCAGGAGTGCAACTCTCAGCAATTTGGGGATTAATTTTCTTAATGCCCTTCCATGTAACCCTATCAGCAGGGTTTGATCCAGGGCCCGCCCAGGCGCTGCTTATATCAACTATATCGACTATGATCTAGAGGTGATGGATGAAGCGACCATCAGCTTGCGATTTGTTAATAATGTGGAGATTGCTAGAGAGTGGGGTGAGAAGTGTCGATAAATACTAAAAAGTGAGAGATTGGTTAAAGCCAAGACACTAATGGATCCACGGAATGTATTTAGGCAACCATGGTCCATGGCATAGCCATGAACAAGGTATTAAGATTTGTAATTCAATTTTAAAAAGTCAACCTTATTAAGTTGAATAATTCAATCGCTTATAAATTGGTCTATCTTTTTCATCTTTATTCGACGTGAAAATTTATCCCTTAACATCTCCTCACAAGCTGGTTGCTCGTTTAAGCCAACCAACCTTGAAATTCATGTGATCATTTTTTTAGTATTAATCGGATCGAATTGCTCGTTGGAGTTTAATAAACTTTGATACCATATTAAGACTTAGCGTTTCATCTTAAATGATTGATCTTGTTAAAAAGAGTAGCTCAATCCCTTATAAGTTGATCTATATTTTTTCATCTTTATTTAACGTGAGATTTTATTTCTTAACATACCCTCCACAAGATGGTGTGCTTGTTTTTTAAACCTTTATTGGATCGAATTGCTCATTGAAACTTAATGGAACTCTGATTCCATATTAAGATTAGATTTTCTCTTAACAAATTTGATCTTTTAAGATGAAATCTTAATTCTTAATACAAGATATTTTTCCGATGCCTACAGCTGATGGGAGATCAATATTTGAAGAATGAGGTACGGGAAAAAAATGGTTTATGCAGTGGACTAAAAATTTATCGAGAATGAAGTTAATTTTTTGTTGGCTTATATCCCCCAAAAAATAACTTCTGAAAAGTTCTTGCATGTTTGACAAAAAAGTAACTTGTATAAGTAACTTTTCATTTCTTTATGTTTAGCGAAATACTATAAAATCCAGGACCTTTATTTTCCTTTTTACTATTTCTGTACTGAGTCTTGACTATGTGCTTTACTAACAACAAATGGTGAATTGACTTTGAAGGTTAGCCAATATTTCACTTTCAATTACTCTTTTGAACTTCAAAATTGAGCACGTTACAATACCGTTTTAGTAAATTCTGATTTTGAAGTCCAAAAAGGATAACAGATGCCCCTCTTCCTATAATACAACGAAATCTTCGGAAAAAAAAAAAAAAAAGCTTGTGAATTACACCTGGCAAGTCCATTCGACGACTTCATTTTGGATCAAAATCACTTTACTACAACCTGAAAAATCAACACTGTAATCACTTTCTTAAGTACTGTTTGGTCTATGATATTCGCGTGATCTCCATATCCTCATGTCAAGTATAAAACTTATGATGGAACTTTTACTAAGGTGTAGAGAAATGAACATTCAATTTGTGGAATCCGGACTTAATATAAACTTATCAATATCAAACCACAATTAATTGACTCCAATCCACAACTACTCCTATCACTTTGGTTGCTACTTCTTATACACCCACAAGGAATACAAGTATGGTGATGTTCGCAAAAGGCCACAAAGGCAAAGAGAAGGCAAAGGCACGAAGAAGGAGATGGGAAGCAGCCACAAGTTCTCTATAATATATTCACAAAGCACACACATGTTTCCAACACTATGAAAGTGGGTATATATGTTAATTTAGGTTACTAAGACTTGGGCCAATATTAACTAACAAATGAATCAACACTAAGATAATTGGGTCAGAGCATTAAAATGATCATCCAAGAGTTATAGTGGCCATGAGCAACACTAATTAGTTGCTTTCAATGGTCCGAGTTGTTTTCGGGTTGAGTCTATAAATTGATTGTATTGATAGTTATTTCACTTATTGACTGAGATCTATGAAATATTAACCAAACTGTTTAATATCATTACCTAATGTTTATTGGGTATTAAAACCCAACATAAGGAATCTTGTATTGTTTTTGAAAGGGTAATTAGAACATAACATCCCCACCTTTCATTGTTATTGTGGAAAAATGTCTATACCTTTTATTTTTTGGTATTTTCACTTTTTATTGCGCAAAATGTCATTTTCATCTATTTTCTCAATTAAAAAATGTGAAATGACAATTATACCATTATCTTTAAATAAAATAAAAAGAAAAAGAAAAAGAAAAATTAATTGCAACCACAATCCCAAATTTTTTTTAAAAAAAAGTGTAAATGAGTCCCAAATAAATTATTAAAAGGGTAATTAGTATATAATGTCCATATCTTTCACTTTTATTGCGAAAAACATCCATGCTTTTCATTTTCTGGCATTTTCACCCTTAATTACACATTTGGTTGTGCAAACCATCATTTCCATATATTTTCATCTAGTTTCTCAATAAAAAACTGTAAAATAATGAATATATTCTCATATTTAAATAAAAAATATTTTTTTTTAATTTCTAATTCTTTAATAATTTATTTGGGACTCGTTTGCATATTTTAATTTTTCTAATTTTAAGTAAATTTAATTGGGACTCGTTTGCACTTTTTTAAAAAAATTAATTTTTTAAAAAAATTTATTGGGGACTCATTTGCACTTTCTTAAAAAATTGAGACTATAGTTGTAATTAATTCTTTAACTTTTTAATTTAAATATGAGGATATATTCGTTATTTCATAGCTTTTATTGAGAAATTAGATGAAAATGGATAGAAATGATGGTTTGTGCTATCAAATGTGTAATTAATGGTGAAAATGTCAAGAAAATAAAAGGTAGGGACTTTTTGCAATAATAGTGAAATGTAAGAACATTATGTGCTAATTATCCTTTTAATAATTTATTTGGGACTCATTTGGGCTTTTCAAAAAAATTGGGACTACGTTTGCAATTAGTTTTTTCTTTTTCCTTTTATCTTATTTAAATGTAAGGGTATATTCGTCATTTCACAATTTTTAATTGCGAAAATGGATAAAAAAAAATTGTGCAATAGGAGGTGGAAATAAAGGTAAAAATGCCAAAAAATGAAAAATAATGACGTTTTCCGCAATAACAATAAAATGTGGTGACATTATGTGCTAATTATTCTTTTTTTTTAATCCTCTCAAACAACTTGTGAAACACGAGTTTCATAATGGTTTAAGCAAGGGCTCAGATTCAGATTCGACTAAACACAATGA